TCCAGGTCTCTGGGGGGCCATGGGAGGGTGTAAGGGAACTAGATGCTCTCTGCCCTCGTCCAGGGGGAAGAGCTCAGTGAGGCCAATGTGCGGCTGAGCCTCCTGGAGAAGAAGCTGGACAGTGCAGCCAAGGATGCAGACGAGCGCATCGAGAAAGTCCAGACTCGGCTGGAGGAGACCCAGGCGCTGCTGCGGAAGAAGGAGAAGTCAGGCACCTTCCCAGGCCCCTGCTCACTCCACCCCTCCCTCCTTCCAGCAGCTCCCTGCCGCCTAGCCCAGGGCCTCTTGTAGTGAGACTCCCCAGGGGGACAGACGCCATCTTCCTTCCCAACTGACATCCCCATCATCTCATCCTAGTCTGAGCCTCTTCTGCCTCTGGCTCCTCACCAGTAGGGCTACTCCAAGGACTCAGTTAGGACTGAGAAGGGTGGGGTGGGGCCATGGGGAAGGGACACTGTCCAAGCCCAGATTCTTTCACAGAGAGTTCGAGGAGACGATGGATGCACTTCAGGCTGACATCGACCAACTGGAGGCAGAGAAAGCAGAGTTAAAGCAGCGATTGAACAGCCAGTCCAAGCGCACGATCGAGGGGCTCCGGGGTCCCCCTCCCTCGGGTATTGCTACCCTGGTGTCTGGCATTGCTGGTGGTGAGTGCAGTGGGACAGGCAGCACTAGCCCAGAGGAGACTGGATGGCCCCCCTCCTGCCCTTGGCTTCAGTTTGACTTCTGCCCCCCTCTTTTACCCCTGGATATTCAACCAGGAATATGCTTGCCCAGTTTCACTCTTGCCCAGTTTCACACCCAGTTTTTTTTTTAGTGAATTTATTTATTTTTGGCTGCACTGGGTCTTCCTTGCTGCACGTGGGCTTCTCATTGCGGTGGCTTCTCTTGTGGAGCATGGGCTCTAGGCGTGCGGGCTTCAGTAGTTGTGGCTCGTGGGCTCTAGAGCACAGACTCAGTAGTTGTGGCGCGTGGGCTTAGTTGTTCCGTGGCATGTGGGATCCTCCTGGACCAGGGCTCAAACCCGTGTCCCCTGCATTGGCAGGTGGATTCTTAACCACTGCGCCACCAGGGAAGCCCTCTGGCAACTTTCACCAAGTTTTTACTTCTCCTTGAAGATATGTGCAGAGTTCTGGCCAAGGTGGGGCAGTGGGGCCTTACCAAGTTGTTGGTGAAGCTCAGAATTACAGTGACAGTTGGACTCTAGTAGATGTCCTTTCTGGGTCTACAGTCTGGCTTTTCTGTCCCAGCCCTGTATTCCAGAGGGTCATCAGCCTGCAGCAGGCTGGGCTAACTGCTGTGGCATCCACAGCAGTGGATGGTGCTTGCTCTTGATTCCTCCTCTGCTTGGGCATTGCATTTTTTCTTCCCCACTGAGTTCACGTGGCTTCACCCTATAGAGTAGTTGTCTCTTCCATTGCTGAATTCTCCCAGTTTCACTTGGGGCTTGTGTTCTGACCTTTGCCTGGTCTCTTGGTGTGGTCAGGGCTCCTTACCTGGAGTTTTTCTGGCTTCCAGGCCTAGTCTCCTTAGTTTCCTGACCAAGGAGGCGGCCACCACCATGTTAGTTCTCATCTACCGTGTAGTTTGGTTTTTGTTCTCTCTTCAGTTTCTCACTTACCCTTCTCACCTCCAGAAGGCAAACTCCTTGTAATGGAATTAAACCCTCAGGATCTCTAGATCTCCCCTGCTGTGCTTGCCTCGTCAGCTGGCCTCACCTAGGGTCTTGTCCTCATCAAAGCCCCCGTCACTGGTGCCGCTTGACCCTGAAAGTGACCAAGCGTCTTCTTGACTTTAGACTCTTGTGGTGCAGACGGCTCCATGTTCCTTGGGAGGGGAGTCTCCAGAATTACCGCATTGCGTTGCTTTAGCATAGGCTCTTTAAACAAATATTGGTTCTTAGTTTATGAAACTTCACACCAAAAAAACAGTGACTTTTGTCTCAGAGCACTGGGGAACCTGAGGAACATGGGAATGTGTCTACATCCTCCACTTAAGTTTTGCTGCTAGGGAGCACTAAGGGTGCAGACATACCAGGGTTTCAGGAGCGTTCCGTCTGCCCTTCTGGGAGCTGGAGTCTGAGGCAGGGAGGCAAGAATGGCCTCAGGTGCTTCTCCTCCTGCGCACACTCCCACTGCCACTCTTGCTCACGTGTTGCACCCTGTATCGTGGCCTGGCTCCCCTTTTCTGTCTTTCACACATATTTGCTCTTTCCCCAAAAGTAGAGGCAGGATCTTGTTAGAGAAGGTATGGTGATTAGGAAAAAAAATCTTCCTGCGTGCCCAGGATTCCTCTGGTATGTCCCCCTCACTCCCAAATCATCTAATTCCTCTCTCCTCTTTTCCTGCTCCCCAATGGGCTATCCTGAGCACAGAAGAACAGCAGCGAGGTAGACACCCATCCTGGTGGGGGGTTAACAGGGCTGGTGGGAATTGGGGCTGGGGGAGCAGGGTGAGACTACCCCCTTGGGAGCAATCAAGACTGGAGGTAGGAGGGGATAAGGAAAGGGGATGAGTAGGGATGGAGCCCATCTTCAGCCTTCTGCACCTGGGGCTCATGACATTTGTTATGGTACCCATAGGAGGTGCCTCTGGGCAGGCTCCGGGATCTGTGCCAGGCCCAGGGCTGGTGAAGGACTCACCACTGCTGCTTCAGCAGATCTCTGCCATGAGGCTGCACATCTCCCAGCTCCAGCATGAGAACAGCATCCTCAAGGTGAGGAGGTCACAGGGAGGATGGGTAGAGGTGGAGTGTAACTGCCTCATTGATGATAGATGGCGGGGCCTTCTGTCACTTATTACCGTTACCCTTCTTCCCCCTTCCCCCACAGGGAGCCCAGATGAAGGCATCCTTAGCAGCCCTGCCCCCTCTGCACGTGGCAAAGCTCTCTCTCCTACCCCGTGAGGGCCCTGGCAGTGATCTAGCTGCTGGAGTGCTGTATCGTAAGACTAACCAGCTGCTGGAGACATTGAATCAGTTGAGCGCACACACCCATGTCGTGGACATCACCCGCACCAGCCCTGGTATGGACCAGCCAAATCCTGAGATGGAAAACACACCCCTTCCCCTTGCCCCAGGCAGTTCCCACGCCAGAGAGGCTCTTCCTAGCACTGCCCTTTGGTCTCAGTGTTTAATTTGCTTGATTCACCTACTCTCTTACGTGTCTACTCCATGAGCGGGTCCAGTATCTGCACTAATGACCCTTAATCCAGTACAGCTGCCTGCCTGGGCCTTGGTGGGCCTCACTAGCCTTCTATCCCCACAGCTGCCAAGAGCCCATCAGCCCAGCTCCTGGAGCAAGTGGCTCAGCTCAAGTCCCTAAGCGACACCATCGAGAAGCTCAAGGTTAGTTTAGACCCTGCCCTTTCTCACCCCACAGTGCCCACTTCAGAGCATTCCGTGGTGGAGCCCCTAGCATGTTCATTTCCACAAGGACTCCCAGGGTTCCTGGGGGCCCATCCCTGTGCTAGATGACACACTGGGGAAGAGATGGAAGGGGAGGCAGGATTCCTGCCTTGGGAACCTGCCCTCACTCCCAAACAGATTCTCATCAACAGAAAACAGATTCTTATCAACAAAGTGGGTTGAGCTAGGATCATCTTTAGAGTGTGTGGTTTCAGGCACAACTTCTGTCAGAGCTGATATCACTGCAGAGTAGAATGGTTGGAAATGGCTTCCCAGAAGCTATAGAGTCTGAGTTGAGCCTTAAAAGGGTAAGTATCTGTAAAGTAAGGATGTTGGGTAGGGATGGGATTGGAGTTGAGAGCAAAAGTATTATGATAAAGAGGATTGGTCCCTGCTTCTTTGGTATTAGTGTTCCTTCCTGTGAAACCAGGGAGGTACTGGGCCAGCCTGTGGGGGGTCCCCTAAATGAATCCTTTTCCCCTCTGCCAGGATGAGGTCCTTAAGGAGACTGTATCTCAGCGCCCTGGAGCCACGGTTCCCACTGACTTTGCTACCTTCCCTTCATCAGCCTTCCTCAGGGTAAGAGGGAGCGGGGGAGGGGGATGGGCAGTATGGAGGGCTCAGGTGGGTCCTTCCCCTCTCCTCCAGAATTTGAAGAGGCTTCTAGGGTCTCAGGTCCAACAACTGAACATCCTGAGAAATCTGGCCAAGTCTTACTTGCAAGTATCTTAAGAGTGCTTGCATTTTTTCCTGAAATTCCAATATTTTAGCAGTTAAACATCTTCTATGACTTTTGACATCAGAAGGGGCTCAAAACTCCCTTGTCAGGCTGTGCACCTCAATTCTGATTTGGAAAATGTGGTCATTATAGTCTAGCAGCCTCAAAGCCTCAGTCACCCAGGGTCTCAGTGCTCAGGGACCCTGTCAGTGGCACACAGCTCAAGTGAGCCCCTGACCTGGAGGCCTCTTCCCCTTCCCAACTCCCAGGCCAAGGAAGAGCAGCAGGACGACACTGTATACATGGGCAAAGTGACCTTCTCGTGTGCTGCTGGCCTTGGACAGCGACACCGGCTGGTGCTCACCCAGGAGCAGCTGCACCAGCTTCATGGTCGCCTCATCTCCTAAATGCTCCTTCCCTCGCTGTCCTCTTCTACACTCAGCCCTCCTGGTGCCGCTCTGCCTGATGCATAGCCACTGGGCAGCCCCCAGGTAGAACCGCCTGTGTAAAGCTGTTGCTGCCCCTTTCAGCTTCACTCCCACCTGTCAGTGCCCTGCCCCTTGCCCCTTGACCTGGTTCCCCTATTTCCATCCCCTGACCTCTGCTGGAACTTGCTGTTCAATTGCTCCCTCCTTCCTGAGGAGACTCAGGGGCCGTGGCGGGTAGGCAGGCTGAGACCCCACCACCAAAGGTCAAGTGAGGTCTCCCTGATTGAGGACTTCACCCCTTGATTAAAGTCACTTCTGCTTCAGTGTTCTCTGTGTGGTGTTGGGAGTGGGACCTGGGCCATTTGGCTCAGAGCAGGAGTGGAGGAGAAGGGATGCTGAGGAGGCTTTGGCTGGGTCACATTTGAAGGTCTCCCTCTAGTGACCAGTAGAATGCCTCAAATTTGTGTTCCTCAAATTTGTGTGCAGTAAGTTTCTCGGAGCAAGGGGAAAAGGGCTAGACCACGGGCTTAGCTCCTGAGTTGATTTATGGAGTTAGGAGGCCAGGAGCATGTAGTCTCTGCCAGCAGGCCTGCCTCTGCTTTCTGGATCTTCCACTGCTCTTCAGGCCAGTGTTTGGAGCTGGGCTAATGGTATGATCATCACCCCAGACAACTTTCTGATGCACTGGCACAGTCTCTCCATAAGATCTGGGGTCTCTCAGAGGGAACATTTACTAAGCAAGGGAAGACCAAAGCAACAGACCGGTAAGAAAGGATAGAAGTTGCAAAAGCTGCTCCCAAGTCCCACTACAAATTAGTATCACCTGGGGAGCTCCTTTGAAAAAAATTTGCACATTTCTGGGCCTTGGCCCAGACCTACTGAAATCACTTCTAGACTTGGGGCCCGTTAGGCCAATGAGCAGTGGCCCGGCATTTTAGAACTTAACCCCAGTTTAGTTCAGTTGGCTGACTCCTTGATACTGTCTCTGTCTGTCTCTTTCCCTCTCTCTTTTTTTTTGGTCTGCATCGTTTACCCGCGCCTCCCTGCAGTGGAAGTGTGGCGTCCTAACCACTGGACTGCCAGGGAATTCCCTTGATACTCTCTTTTATTCCCTCCTTGGGGAAATCCTACGCAGGCTGCCAGAGGTCTCTGATCCAATTGGAGGGAGAGACCCCTAGTGCTTAGGAGCAGCTCCAGCTAGGTCAGGTCCTCTGCTTGTGGGAAAGGAGCAAACAGGACAAGGAGGTTCCAGGTTGGGAGCCCAGGGCACACGTTAGCGCTGGGCGCATTCCCAATTGACGTACCCTTTGGGAAGGTCCGTGGATTATGGTGTTTTGATACCTGCTCTGCACCTTAGCCTTTTTCAACTGGGGTTCCAAGAGAAAATGATTTGTGTGACTTTCCTCAGTACTCTCAAGGATTACACAGAGCTGATAGCATTCTAGATGCATATACCTAAGGGATACCTTAGGGTATTTGGGCTTAATTCTTCCAGAATTGGTTGAGGAGGGTGGCTGTGTCTTGATATCAGAGAGTCTTTACCTCACCTCTCCAAATTGGCCTCCTCTAGTGCTGAGGAAGTTGCAGACCACACTGTTCTTTCCCTGGGATTGGATTGTGTTCCTGTCCTTTCTGCCTAAGCTGCTGGCCTCCCTTCCCATTGGTGTTTAAGATACCAAGGGCCAAGACTGGGCAACTCCTGGGGGTACGAGAAGACGACAGGGCTTTCTTGTTCTGTCCGTTTGCCTTGGTAGTGGTTTCTCACCATTACTGTTTTCCGAATACCATACTTATTTATTCAATTGCCTGCTGGTATCTATCTCAAAGTCAGCATGTCTAAAATGGAAAGCATCTTTTCCATGTCCTGTATATAACAAGCCACAAACCAGGGTATCTGATGGCTTCTCCACTCTTCCTTAGCTAATTTAGTTACCCAGTCTTGTTCAGTTTTTCCTTCATTACTGTCTCTCACATCTGTTCACTTTTTTCCACTCCCTCCACTGCTAACTTTGTGTATAATTTCTTGCTCTGGGTATTTCAGCAGTCTTTGAAATGGTCATCCTACCTCTGTTGCCTCTCTCACCCAATTCTCATGGATGCCCGAGAGACCTTTCCAAAATGCACACTGGGCTGTGTCATTCTCTCTTTAAATTCTGAAATGGTTCTTTCAAGTAGAATTTAAAAGTTAAACAAAATCCTGAAATGGTTCCTCCAAGTGTCTAGAATTTAAAATTTAAATTCACTAGGATGGCACACGAGGCCATCCATGATTTGGATCCTGCCCACCTGTCCAGCCTCTCTTGTGCCTTATGGTCTAGGCTTAGTGAACCCCTGCAGTTTCTTTGCCACCATGTGATTGCTCAGGCCTCTTCCCACTGCCAAGAATGCCAGTTACCTCCTTCCTTCCTTTCTATCTCTCTGCCCCCACCCCACCCCATCTTAGCTGACAGCCTGTTCATTTATTAAGACAGTTCCGGCACTGCTACCTTAGGAAATCTCCAATCCCTGTAACCTCTTAGGTGCTCCTCTTCTGGAGCAGCAAAGAATATGAACCTTTTTTTTTTCAGGTGTGCTTGGATTTAGTTGCTTTGTGACCTTGGCGAGGTTTCTCATTTCTGGTCTGCTTTCTCAACAGCAAAATAGGAATAACGAAACCTTACAGGGCTGTGGTAAAGGCTAAATGAGAGAACGCATGCAAGTCTAGCCCACGGCAGGCTTCCTTCTCTTCTTCAGTACATGCCCCTATGGCATTGCTTTATACCAGTACGTGTCTCTTTGCATTGTAATTGTGAGTTCACCCATCTGTCTCCTTCTTCAGCCAGACTGAGAGTTCCTTTAAGGTGTCTTTCATCTCTGACTCCCCCAAAACACAGGAGAAGGGCACACGGTTGGGGAGCAGCACTATGAGTTTCATTTTAGAAATGAGTTTGAGGTGCCTGTGAGAATGTCCGAGTGGAGATGTCCATTGGCAGTTGGATCCAACTGGGTGTAGAGCTCAGCAGAGAAGTCTGGATTGGAGAGAAACTTTGGGGAATGGGTTGGGAGTGTGTCAGTGGTGGTTGAAGACATGATTGGGATGAGGTGTATTGTCTTAATTCAGGTTACTTAGAAAACTGAACCGGAGGCAAAGCTGCAGTCCTAGTGCTTTATTGGTAGATACAATCCCCGAGCAGTGAGGGTGAGGAAAGCTAGGCAGGAAAAGAGAAGAAAACACAAGGTTTGTTTTAATGAGTGGGCCACTGCTTCACAAATAACTGTGATGTCCCTGGATAGACTATTCAGAAATGCTACGTTTGGGTTGATGGAGGGATGGAGAGAGCAAACTCACCTCCTCTCTCTTCTGTCTGCTGTCCTTCGTTGCTCCAAGTTTGCCCTGTTGGGTGTTTGCTCCCCTTCACTTGTTGGGATTGTGTTAGTTGGCCACCCGAAAAGCCAGATCCCACGCCCTGCAGCATGGCATATCATACAAGTCCTGAAGTGTGAGGTGAACAGACGGGCACTGGCCTATAGGACTTGGTCAAGACAGAGTAAGCAGCTAGAGGCCTGGGAATCAGGTGAGGCGGCAGATCACCTGAGGAGAGAGTATAGGGCAGGAGGAGGGCGGAGCCCTGGGCAGTTCTGAGAGTTAAAGAACCCACAGCAGAGCCCCAGGGATCATCACTGGAGCAGAGGCCCCCAGAGGAAGTGTCACAGGGCCAAGGAAGAGGGAGATTTGGGGGAGGTAGTTGATAGTTTCTTGTATTGCTCAGTGGTCAAATGGGCCTGAGTTCAGAGAGAAAGTGGCATCTGATTCTGAGATGCCCGGTGAGCTGGTCAGAGCTCCCTCTGTTGGTGGAATAGAGGGAAAAGAAACTGGGTTGTGGTGACGAGAAAGGGGAGAGAGCAGCACGTGTGCACTACTGTTTCCCGTTATTCAGTGGTGGAAGTTGGGTGGCCAGGGGATGACAGATAGCTGGCGCAAGCATCATTGCCTGTAGATGATAATGGGAGCTGCTCACGGAGCCCAGGAGATCTCTGGAAACGGATAGGATGTGGTGGGGGGGGCGCCTAGGGAGGCACTATGTGCGCCAAGGATGGTGCACAGCATGGGAGCGGTCTTCTTTGATCCATCGACACCCAGAACTGCCAGTTGCGACACAAGAACACAGTCTCAATTTTGTCTTCTATGAGCCCCTCTCTTTCTGGGGTTCTTCGGCGGATTTCCAGGGTCAACATCACCTTCCCCACCCTGGAGACAACTTTGTGAAGTAAGTATAAGGCTTATATCCCAGCTCTTACACTTGTAAGCTGTATGAACTTAAGGGAAGTTGCTTAACTTCTCAACCTCAGTTTCTGTATCTATAATATGAAGCTAATAGCACCTTCCTCAAGTGGTATTTTTTCCTCGTAATCCTCAGGGAAAGGTTAAATGAGAAAGCGTGTTTGACACAGGTGCTCAGTAAGAAATGATACTGGGGGAGGATGATATTGAACAAATGAAAAGGAAATAAAATGCAAGCAGCCACATTCCCAAGACATACACTTGTGACACAAATCATCATATTTTGGGCTCCAAAGGACAGGCAATCCTCAGTGCCCCAGTTTTTGGCTTGTTTTCATGGGTGGTTACCATCCTGTTTTCTACCATCTAGGCACTGTTTCCTCCTACTGTTAGCAGGCCAAGGCTGGGGAAGAGTCAAATGTTCATGGCACTCCTACCTCACCCCAGTTTGAATATACCTTCGTGGTTCCCATTTTCTGTGCTGTCCCGGAGTGGGAAGCAGGAGTGGGTGCAATACGGAGACCCTGGTCTCTGCTGGCTAATCCTAGGAAATGTGCAAGGCCCCAGAGTCAATTCTGCCCTACTCAGCCTTGGAGCTGAAAGTGAGCCAGGAGCCTGTGTGCTCTACAGCCCCACGTGCCCAACTGGGGAAGCTTCATAGCACCGAATACCTTGAACCCTGTCAGGTAGGCCCAGAACACCTAGAGAACGTGGAATCTGAGGGTGAGCAGCCTCTCCTGCCTCCCTGTGGATGTTAAACTCCATGTAGCCCTCTCCTCCTCTATGTATATTGAGAAGCATGTCCATTCACCCAGGCTTCCTTCATCTCTACCACATGTGACAACGGAAACAGGCAGTGCTGCTCCCAGGGACAGCCAGCCTCTGTTGCTGAGGTACTCGGGGGTAGCCTGGGATGTTCGGCCTCCATTTCTCTCCAGAAGGCTGGGGAGTTTGGGGGTGAGACCTGGACTCATCTCGCTCAAATAACTGGTGTCAGAGTAAATATATGTCTGCCACCCTGTGTTTTGTTACTTTTTATTGTGGGAAATTTTAACATACAAATGAAGAGACTGGAGTGTAATGAATCTCCATGTGCCCATATTCATTGTTTCATGATCCATCTTGTTTCCTCTGTGTAGCTCTTCTTCACTCTCCTCTACCCCCAGATTATTTTGAAGCAAATCCCAGACATCATTTCATCCAAAAGTATTTTAGTATCCCTAAAAGAGCACTTAAGAAAACTACAATACCATTATTGCACCTAAAAAAAAAAATCATCAAATATCCCGTGTTCAAATTTCCCTGATTGTCTTATAAATGTTTTGTATTATAGTATGTGTATTCGGGTAAGGTTCACGAAAAAGATATATACTACAAATAGTTGTCTTTTGAGTTCCATATTCTAAATTACCATTAGTGTACCAATACAACATATACTTTATATGCATATATCTTAAACTTCATTTTCAGTGTGTCAGCAATTCAAATATAGCTTATGTTATCCCGAGAATACAAAGAACACAACGTGGAGGAAGATTGAGAACAGAGGTTCCCAGTACGTAGTCACTAGTGATTGTAGAGATTTTCCTTTTAGTGTTTTCTATGTAAAACATGAATTTAAAGATGTCCTGCCATGGCTCTGCAAGAATAGATTTGCCAGAGGGGGAGTACAATGAAAAAAGAAATGGACCCAGAGTCGTTAGGAGATAAAAGATGGAAGTCAAGGAGAGAGAATATAGTTTGAAACGAAATATAAGGATTTCCTTCATTCAGGGTGTAAGCATCCTGAATATAGTTAGCTTGGGCTGCTATAACAAAACACCATAAACTGGGTCACTTATCAACAACCAAAATTGACTTCTCAGTTCTGGAGGCTGGAAGCCTGAGATCAGGGTGTCAGCACGGTCAGGTTCTCGAGACAGTGCTCTTTTGGTTGCAGGCAGCTGACTTCTTCATATCCTCACATGGCAGAAAGAGAATAAGCTAGTTCTCTGGCCTTTTATGAGGATATTAATCCCATTCGTGAGGGCTCCACCTTTCTGACCTAATTACCTCCCAAAGCTTTTACTTGGAAAAATACATCACATTGGGGATTAGATTTCAACATATGAATTTTGGGGGACACAGACATTCAGTCCATAACAGCATCCAAATTGGTGTTGAGGAAAGAAATTATATCCTCTTGCTTTTGCCTCAGATTACCCATTAATATACCAAATATATAGTGCCCATCACCTGAGAAGGAGCACTCTCCTCCCAGCATTGTATATGGAAAGGCTGGGCAGTGGGAAAGGAAAGTGATGGGAGAGCAACTTGCTTTTGAGATACTCTAGGTAATGGGTATTGAACCCTTCACTTTGGGAAGTCTGTCAAATAGCTGAAGCAGTGACTCTCCAACTTTACAAATGATGGTAGATGTAACAAATTTATACTGAAGATTTGAAAGGATTGAAAAAATGTTTATGGAAAGGGGTCAGATAGATACCCAGGCAGTAAGGGAACGTGGGTATTAAACAAGAGTTATGTGCTTTCAACCTCTGCTCCACAGGTCAGGCTCAAAATTCTAAACCCTTTGACTTTAAATATGGGGCAAATACCAAGTAAAGCTTTTCTTCAAATGCAGCAACTGGATGGAGCTATAAGAAGTTAAACACTTCCATAGAATGTAACTTAGAACAGCCCTTTGAACTTCCTTCATTCAAGCCACACCAAACTGGCCAAAGATGTTGCACTTTTCAACAAACAGAATAGTGGAGGTGCCACAGACAACCCTTTTATCATAGGAAGAGACATGTAAACGTGCAAGAGAGTGATGGAGCTGCAGTCAGCACTGGATGCAGTGAGGAAGAGTGTAGAACAGTGACCAGAAAAGATGACTTTCTCCATCCCTATCCCTGTCAAAATTCTGGATTTATAAACACTGAGGCCAGTCTATCCATTTTCAGAGAATTGGCTTAGTGGAGAAGGAAGTGGCAAGATTTTTTTTTGTCCCCTGAAATTGCTAAATAGGACTTTACAAAGAGGCACATGAGGGTCATGAGATGACTCTGAAATAAGTTGAGGAACTTGAAAGGCGAATTTTACAGACTTTAGAGGTCATTTCTCCCTGGCTTGCTGAGCCCTTCAGAGTCAGCCATGAGTGTGGTATGACCCACTATTCCCATCTTGTTAATCTTGGCTGCACAACAACAAAGGGAATGGCATAAACCAGCTTCCCCATGAAATGGGGAAGCTAAGAAAGAGATTGCCCAGTAATTTTAGTTCTGGGGGAGGGAGGTATTTCCAACTTCTCAAAGATTTGTGCCCCCAGGGTAATTTGTTTTCTGTTTAATTTTTCATATTTTATTCCTGGTATTAATAGGTTAAGAAAGTAGAACTTTCCCAAGTACTGATTGATAGATAATGTTTATAAGCAGCACACAAAATGTTCAGTTTCACAAATAATAGCATTCACTGATCCCTTTAAATGCAATTTCAAAATCTGTGTATCCTGAACGGCAGTAAGTTGAGCAAGTGATTTCTATAGCTATATTTGATTTTAGTCAAGGACACTTTTCCACAATGAACAAGTACTAACAAATATTAATAAAATACTATACCAAATGCTTATTGGGCTGTCAACTTTTTTTTTTTTTTTTTGCGGTACGCGGGCCTCTCACTGTTGTGGCCTCTCCTCTCCTGTTGCGGAGCACAGGCTCCGGACGCGCAGGCTCAGCGGCCAGGGCTCACGGGCCCAGCTACTCCACGGCACGTGGGATACTCCCGGACCAGGGCACGAACCCGTGTCCGCTGCATCGGCAGGCGGACTTTCTACCACTGCACCACCAGGGAAGCCCCTGGGCTGTCAGCTTTTTAAGCAATGCCATTCCAGCTACTACTGAAAGCATTTATTTTAGAAGCTTTAATCTGATCTGGGAAAATGGGTCCTCCTCCAACTTGACAAATAGTATGTATAAGCCCCAAAGCTTTTAAATAAAAAAAAGCCTTCCAACTCTGAAGCATTCATGTGAAACTTAGTTTCTCAAAAAAAAATCACTCGCTATCTGAAGAAAATATTAAAACAAGTTATCTTTTGAGACAGATAAACATTCTTACAAAAGAGAAACACAAATTAATTCACTATCCTTAATAATCTGTTAATTACTGTTGTCTAGAAATGAGAATACATGAAACACATTTTCACTTATCATAGGGTCCAAGGTGACATTTATATTTCACATATTAAACAGTTATAGTATAGCCTACAATGGCACAAAGACACGTAATACTTAATTCAGATAGTCAAAAGTCAGAAGGAGCTACATGGTTTGCAAGATACTTTAGCTTTTGTGTGGTCATTAAAACCCAATAAGTAATTTGAGTATGGTATTATAAAGGCAGGCAATTAAAATCTCAAATATCACTCAAAAATCAAAGACATGAAAATCTTGTGTTTCTTTATCTTTTATTTACATGGTTAGGTATCAGGACCTTACTGTAGAAAATATTGTTACTATTTATGGTTGCCCCAGAAAATAATGAAGCTTCAGAAATTTAAAATTATAAAAGAAGCTTCAGTTCTTCATTCATAGTAAGCAAGACTTTAACCTCAGGAAACTTCCTGGGATCCTTTCAAATGAAGAAGATATCTGGGACTTCCCTCGTGGTCCAGTGGGTAAGACTCCGCTGCTCCCAATGCAGGAGGCCTGGATTCAATCCCTGGTCAGGGAACTAGATCCCGCATGCATGCTGCAACTAAGAGTCCACGTGCTGCAACTAAGAGTCTGCAGGCCACAACTAAAGGTCGCACACGTGGCAACGAAGATCCCACATGCCTCAACTAAGACCCGGAGCAGCCTAAATAAATATTAAAAAAAAAAAGATATCTTCAATTTGTACTTGACCTTGTCTTCCAATTGATGTTTCCTTGACGCATTTCAGTGATGAACTCTATGCCAAAGTCTTCAAGAATATCCACTGGCTTAGTATAAGGATTCTAATCATCCC